CTTGTTCTTTTTTGGTTTTGTTTCCCTTGACTGAGGAGATGTGTCCAGGAAAAAATTGCTCATGCTTATTATGATCTCCAGCTAGTTTTTAAAGAAATAGTCATGATGTTATTTCTATCAAGTCTTTCCCATATGTTATTAGGATAGTGATTTATAATTCATGTTTTGGAATATCCTTTAATATCTCCAGTTATCTCAAGATCCCATAATATTTTCAAAAAGCCCCCAAAAGAAAATGTTGAAACCTACTTAGAGGGTTGTTAAAAAATCCATTTTTCTCTTTCCAGAATCACACCATGCCAAACTACAAACTCATTTATTTTAATATGAGGGGGAGAGCTGAAATTATTCGTTACATATTTGCATATTTGGATATAAAGTATGAAGATCACAGAATAGAACAATCTGACTGGCCTGAAATCAAACCAAGTAAGTAGTACAAATAATAGTTCATGAAAATGTAAGGAAAATATGTTTCCACAAGCTTTTACCTTTCCTCAGGTTTTTAAATCATACAGCTTTACACTGAGAAGCAGCAGTTCAAGCAAGTTAAGTAGCGCTCTGTGACCCAGAAATCCTCCTACTAGAGGTGGAGACATAAATGTCACAGAGAGAGGTAAACTAATAGGAGCTTTGTGAAGAGGTGAAGTGGGGAGTACTGAAGGCAATATTCTTGACAATTGGAATTGGATGGGCTTGCTACAGATTACCTATAATGTCTTAACAGTGGATCAGATATGCTGCTCGAACAGAAACCAAACTCAAAATGGTCTAAGTAATGAGGAAGTAAATTGTATCACATAACTGAAAATCCAGAAGTAGGATAGGTTTCAAAGGATGAATTTATCTATTTTTCCTCCTCTGTGTGTTGGCTGCATTATGCAACTGGTAGCAATACGTTTGTGGCAATTTCATACTTACAGCCTTAAACGGGAATATCAAGAGGATATATGTGCAAGAGAAACAGGGAGTACGGCTGCCTTCAGTGTTTCCAGAACAATGAAGAAAATCTTTCCCAGAGAACCTCTGCAAACTTCTCTTGTTCCACTGGCTCTGACTGGGTTGCATGTCCATTTCTGAGCCAGTGGCTGGCAAAGGGGATGTGAAGATACTTAGAAACATCTAGCCCACTTCTGGAGTTGGGAAGAGAATCAGTTTTCATGAGGCATGTGACTATGTGAGAGGCGGGTGGATTCATGAACAGAACTAGGATCTGTTTGATCAAAGGAAAGAGCCAATCAACAAGTTGAACATGTACCCCAGTGAAAACATGCTACTTAGTGCTCAGGACAATGAGAAAGAATTAGAAATATCAATACATTAAACAAACAACAGTGTTTGGTTCTTAGTAAGTTTTAAGATATCCTGTAGATGCTTGCCATGCTACCTATAAATACTAACTAAATATTAATTATGTGTCTAAAATTCAAATTTTTAATGACTGGATTATTAAAAATTCATCGGCTATATTATTGTTTCTATTTTATAGTTGGTATAAATGAAAAGCTGATTTTCAAACACAAGTTAATTTATTTTGAAGGCCTAAGTTATTTATAATAATTAGTATATTAACAATAAATAATACCACATGCTTTTTGGAAGCATTAGTTCCTAAAAAGTAAAAGCCCCTATAAACTATTCTTTGTCATATTAGAGAACTCTTCTCTAGTGGGACAGAATGTCTTATTTTCTGTTCTTATAAAATTTTGTAATTAATATCCAAATGTTTCTTCTGATATCAGAATTTTTCATGGGATTTTTAATTCTGTGGACATATAATAGATGAAAATTAATTTTATCCATTAATTAAGTCAAGATGGATAGCGAGTTGTAAAGATATTACGTACAACACATTCTGCCTTTTAGTTTTTAGATGTAAGTTCTTTGAGTGCCTCATACCCTATTTCACCTTGTCTTGTCATTATGTTACTGAAATGGAATTGCTGCACCTTTTAAATATTTTCATAGATTCTTAGAGTTGAAAGGGATCTTAAAGTTTGTAATGGTCAGGATATAGTTTCACATGCTTAAACAGCCACCCAAGACAAAAATGGCTTAAAGAGGGTAGATATTTATTTATTTTGTATAAAAGCCCAACTTGGTATAGTGGTTCTGCTCCATAACATTGTCAAAAATTAAACAACTCCTCTGCTAATCTGCCTCTTGTGGTGGGTTATCTTATTTACACAATGTAAGACATTTCTTTCTCCTTCTACATTCCATCTCACAGGAAGCATGAAAGAGGGAAGGGAGCACATCCCTTCCTTTTAACAGCATGACCAGGAGGTTTTATACATCATTTCTGCATACACCCGTTGGCAAGAACTTAGTCACATGATCATATGTTACTACAATGGAATCTGGGAAATGTTGATTGTATTGTGGATAATCACTTCCTGACTAAAAATACAGGATTTTATTACTCTGAATAAAAAGGAAGGAATACATGATGAAAAGCAGTTTCTATTAACAAATTTTTTCTGGTCTCATCTATCCAATTTAAGAATACTTTAGTGTTTGAAACCCTCTGTGACGTCCTCTCTGCTATAACCTAGAATATCATTGAATATTTCTATCAAAAGTTCTTCCTGGTAAAACCTGGTAGCTTGTGCACAGGTGTTTACATTTTCTCTCCTTTAATAACATTAAAGTACTTTAAAAAAAAAAAAGCAAAGCCCCACAAGGGCAAATAAGTCAAACTTATATACTATAGCATAAAATTCTTGGAGCTAAGAAGCAGGTCAAAGAGTGGTAAGGTGATTTAGCAGGCCAGTGCTGCTCAAATATAAGCTTGGAGGAGAAGGCAAGCTGAATTACTTGAGATTCCCCAAAGGCTCAGGAATTGGTAGCAGCAGATAACTCTAAAAGCTGAAAAGGATTGACTGGGAGAATGTGAAGAACAGTAGGACTGCAAGATCCCTTCCCCTCCCTGAAAAGAGCATGGAGCGTGCTCTCAAGAAAGGGTGGACCGAAGGATTCTAGGACATCAGCCGTGTCTGAGGAAGCAATGCTGTAGTGAAGACGGATCTGATGCATGTCTAGAAACTAAACAGTGAGACCCACAGCCTCTTGCTCTTGCTTTGTAATCAGAATGCTCCAACCAGGCTATCATCACTCTGACAGGAAATGGGAAGATTTCTCTTGAGGAAACTGACCAGTCCAAGAGAAATATCCAACAGATAGGTACCAAACAGATGGGGGTTCCTTAATGAAATGGCCCAACCCACTCTGTTTGCCAGCACCTCCCCTGCAGACTGATATTCCAGTTAGCTTTTATTTCTTTGCCCTTTAAAACAAGAATGGCAAGTCAAAATTTAACAGATATTTGCAAGAAGTCTCTAATATGAAACAGACCTAAACAAAGAAGTGGGTGTGGTGGGTGAGGGGGATGACTCTGAGGAAGTCAAGATGATGGAGCAAGAAAAAAAACTTCAAATATATAAGAGAGATAAGCTATTCCATATATTCTAAACAAGAACAGGATGCTATTTTTTAAAGTTCAGAGACAAAAAGTTCTTGAAAATTAAAAAATTTGCTATACATAAAACAATCAAAAAATGAGAAATATGGAAATCTTCCCAAGAGCACAAAAATAGGAAAAAGGGAGGAAAACTTTTAAAGGCATCTTCCTTCAAAATCTCAGTGAGGTAACTCCTCATACTAGTCAGAATGGCTAATATCAACAAGACCAGAAATAACAAGTATTGGTGAGAATCTGGAGAAAAGGAAACCCTTGTACACTGCTGGTAGGATAGCAAATTGGAGCATCCACTGTGGAAAGCAGTATGGAAACTAAAAACAGAAAATATCATGTTACCTAGCAATTCCACTTTTGGGAATGAACCCAAACAAAAGAACTAATCCAAAAAGATATATGCACCCTATGTTTATCACAGCATTGTTTACAATAGCCAAAAATATGGAAGCAACCTAAATGTATACTGATAAATGGAATATTACTCAACCATAAAAAATAATGAAATCTTGCCATTTGAGAACACAGATGGACCTGGAAGTCACTATGCTGAGTGAAATAAGTCAAACAGAGAAAGAAAAATATGATACGATTTCACTTACTTGTGGAGGACAAGGATAAAAACAAGCAAACAAGCAAAATACAAATAGACTCAGTCACAGAGTACAGACTGGTAATTACCCTAGGAGAAGGGGGTGGAAGAATGGGTGAAGGGGGAATAATTAGTGAGAATGTTTGATATCTTGATTTCAGCGATGGTTATGAGTATAAACATATGTCAAAATTCATCAACCTGTACACTAAAATTTGTACATTTTATTGTGTGCACCTCAATATAAAACTAATAATTAAAAAAAAAACCAAATTCCTACTGGAACAAGAACAGACTCCCAGATCAATGGTCCAGAACAGAGCCCAGATATAAACCCACACATATATGGCCAATTAATATATGATTAAGGAACCATGAATATACAATGGGGAAAAGACAGCCTCTTCAATAATAGGTGTTGGCAAAACTGGACAACTACATGTAAGAGAATGAAACTGGATTTTAGTCTAACTCCATGCACAAAAGGAAACTTGAAATGGATCAAAGACCTGAATTTAAGTCATGAAACCATGAACTCATAGAAGAAAACATAGCCAAAAATCTCTTGAATATAACATGAGCAGCTTTTTCCTGAACACATCTTGTGTAAGGGAAACAAAATAAAAAATGAACAAGTGTGACTACATCAAACTAAGAAGTTTCTGTACAGAAAAGGACACCATCAGCAGAACAAAAGGCATCCTACAGTATGGGAGAATATATCTGTAAATGACTTATCCAATAAGTGGTTAACATCCAAAATATATAAAGAACTCACATGCCTCAACACCCAGAAGACAAATAACCTGATTAAAAAATGGGTGGAGGACCTGAACAGACACTTCTCCAAAGAAGAAATTCAGATGGCCAACAGGCACATGAAAAGATGTCCCCCATCGCTAATCATCAGGGAAATACAAATTAAAACCACAATGAGATATCACCTTATGTTAAGTTAGGATTGCCAACATCCAAAAGACAAGAAATAACAAATGTTGGCGAGGCTGTGGAGAAAGGGGAACCCTCCTACACTGTTGGTAGGAATGTAAATTAGTACAACCATTGTGGAAAGCAATATGGAGGTTCCTCAAAAAATCAAAAATAGAAATACTATTTGACCCAGTAGTTCCACTCCTAGGAATTTACCTGAAGAAAACAAAATCCCTGATTCAAAAAGAAACATGCACCCCTATGTTTATCGCAGCACTATTTACAATAGCCAAGGTATGGAAGCTACCTAAGTGTCTGTCAATAGATGAGTGGGCAAAGAAAAGGTGGTGCATATACACAATGGAATATTATTCAGCCATAAAAAGAAAAGAAATCCTACCATTTGCCACAAAATTGGTAGAGTTAGAGGGT